AGAAGCAATTAAGCAGATTTTTATCCTTAAAGAATGAATGAATATTTTGCTATAAACTGTTAGGAATCTGGATTCTATTCCTACATAGTATTACAGCCATTCTATTAATTCACAAGGATGAATTACTATTCTATTTTTGTATAAGTATTTTTAGAAATTGATAAAAGCGCTCGGAAAACCTGCAAGGGTTATTCCCTGCCAAGTACTGTGAAGCTTACCCTTTTGAGATGAATTGTTTTTAATGTCACTGCACATTCTGATAAAGCCTGTAATATAAAGCAGAACATTAGACTATTAAATTAGCCTTTTGGTTAATTGTTTAAATCCCAGCAAGCTAACAAGGCCCAAAACAGGCTAGCTCAAAACCATTACCACTGCCCTCTCCCTCACAAAATGCTAGCTAAGCTTCAACCATTACTTCCAGTTTTTGCTCCACTCTATCCAGACCATTCTGGCACAGCTAAACACCCAAGAGGAACTACAGAACAGCCATCTGTATTTGTTTACTTTCACTGAAATTAATTCATAAGTAATACAGGTCAATGTTAAACAGTCAAGACTGCACTTCTCTAGCACGCCTTTAAACATAGATGAGACAGAGGACCCAGCACCATACTTCCAAAAATTAGCATCCTGGAATCCCCTTAAAAAATAAAAGCACTTTTGTTTCTGAGAGAAGCCAATGTTTGATACCAAGTGTGCATGTTATTTATCAATTCCATAGAAATGAAAGTAAAAAATCTGTAATACGCACCAATACTGTCTGGGCATCTGCCAAGTCAAACGTTTGCTTTAAAGGTGCTAAGAAACATGCGGGGACAATGTGTTTGTAGACAAAGTCTGCAAAACCCACTGGTCCATCTTTGCCTCCTGAAAAGACAAATAACATTCCATATTTTATTCTTGCTCATGAAAAGCAGCAGCTAGAAAGGAACTATTAAAAGACAGTCTTACCCCACAGCTCCACCAGCTTAGAAAGAATAATAAAGCAAGTCTTCTGTGCAATAGGATCTGGGTAATCCACTGCTCCTTGAATGACAGTGAACAACACACGCTCCACATTCTGGGCACCTAAAAGAGATTAAAATAAGCTTGGA